CTTCCAGTCCCACTAGGGAATGCTAGGAGCAAGATGGATCTAATGGGCAGTTTGAATAATAAAGGTGTTAAGTTAACCACATCTCATGTTGTCTTTATGCTGCCTCGACTTTTCAGCAGCCAGTCTCAAATATCTTTCTACCCTAAACCCAGCAGGACAAACATTATGAGAGAAAAATAAAAGAGAGACAAGCTTCAGAGACAGGATAAAAAATCAAATCTTATCAGAACGTGATAATTCTGGAAAAAATAAAGAAAGAAGTGACAGGACACTTATGGTATATGTAATGCAATAAAATAGAATCTCTTAACACGCATCATACCATAAATGTGTACAGGTTTCCTGGTTGAGCTCTGAGCAAAAGTGCAAAATGAACAAAAGGGGTGGATGTAATAAGATCCAGGTGGAGGTGGAAACCATCCTTGAAAATAAATAAAATGTCCTCTTGCACATCTATTAGACGCATAAGCACACACACTTAGAAAAGATATGAAATCGGATTAAGTATTTTTTAAAAAATTCTTTTTTAATGTTCATGATGTTTTTTTTTAATCATTTCACCCCAAGTAAGGCCACTAAGATGTAAGGGGTTACTGAGTGAGAGAGAATGTGAGAAAAAAAAAATTAAGGAGAGAAAACAATAAAAGAACAGGAATTAAGAAGATAATGATTCACATTGCATTTAAATCTTTGAAGATCAAAGTTGGCTGGAAAGCAAAAAGAGAGCATTCCACAAGCGAGAAGTGCAAGAGAAGAAACTGTTAATATAGAACTTATGGTTCATTTAATTGGTGGAAAGAAATCTGGATAAAGACAAATTAGGAATTATTTATGAGGTACAAGAAATTACTCTGAATTACATAACTTAAATATTTATTGTGATTAGAGTCTGTCTATATTTCTGATATGAGGTATTATGTACATTATAAGAAATACCCAGAAATTCATATCCAGATGTCCTCAAGGACAGTGGATAAAGGCGTTGGTTAGAACCAGTGACAGGACCCAAAGAGTGTGAGTTCAATACCCGGTTAAGGCAGTGGAGAACTTTCAGAGGGAAATTAACAGGAGAAAACTGATAACTAACATCCATCAAACATGGCACGTGGAACTAGAACAGTTTACCCCGGTGAGTGAAATAAAGGGTTCAGTTCGAAATTTCAACCACCTGAAGAAGGCCGGAGTGTACAACAGCTGAAACGTTGTGATAAATATGATGTAAATAATTACTGTGATTAGGCAGCAACTGTTCATTTAAAGGGGTTTTACTGACGTCTTATGTCTATTAAGTCTATCCCATTTTTTCTAAACTGTGAGTAATCCTTCTTAAAACTATTGAATGTTTTAGTTTAATGGCATATCAACCTTTATGGGTTATTTAATGCCAAAATCTAAATATTTTGTATGCAATTTTATTTACTAGATTTTTTTGCAACATGCTGATACGTGTTGAAATTCACACAGTATTTAGTATCATTAAAGTTATTGCTAACATTCTTGTTTAGATTTACAAACTCTACTTTTCATTCAATTTTGCAAACCAATTTGAATAAGCTCATTTGTTTGGAAAAATACTTTGACAAAAACCCTATTTTGAAATTTAATAATTTATTTAATTTTATAAAACTTCCTGGTAAACAATGTTGTTTAAGAAAATTTTGTTTTCCTTTTTAACAGCGAAGAATAAATTCTTAGGATTTCTTACTCTTGAGCATGCAACATACAACTGGTCATGTGTAAATATTTCTTTCGGAACCAAATTTCAAGTGTTTGTCCTTGTGATTTGTTTATATTTCTCACAAACACAGGGTGAACTGGAAACTGGATGCTTGTATATATAAAAACAATATTGTATTTTTATTAAATAAGTATTTGTCATTTCAATCATTAAATGGTTTTTAAAATAGTGAGAATATTTTTTTTTATGTTAAATAATAAAACTTCATTTTTCCAAAAAAAATTAATGAAGATTTATTTATTTTAAGCTATGCACTATAGTAAAACCCACTGTGCTTTGTATCCCTCTTACCCGTTTCCAATTCTCCCCAAAATTTGGTTTTGATTGGTCAATGTATGAATATTCTAGGTGTGGTGCCTAGCTGGACAAACTAATGGAAGTCATAGAATTTCTTATATATAGATAATTTGTTTTGGTGATAATAATGGTTTTAGTGATACAACCCATAGCTGGGGGAGAAAAGGTGGATTCATAATTTTCTCAAAAGTATTTGCATATAAGTGAATATAACAGGAATTGGAACTTGGCTCTCTGATTAATAATTCCAAGCCATTATCTGTTACATTATATGTACATCCAAGCTTACAGTATTTGGTGTTCCCAAGTGGTCACCTATCTAGGTACTGACCAAGCTTGACATTGCTTAATTTTGGTGATTGTACATAAACCAGTGTTTCAACATAATGTAGCCATAAGCTTCACAAAACTGGTTGAATGGCATTGTTATTAATTTTATCTTGTAAGCATCAAAATACAAAGAAGTGTATGGTATCAGTCCCCAGGTTTATATTAAAATTATTATAGTATAAATGAAGTCAAATTTGAAAGTCAATAATATCAAATTGATCATCAATTTCTTTTCTTTCTTTCTTTTTAATCATTTCACCCCAAGCAAGGCAATAATGCCACTAAGACACAAGGGATTAATGGGAGTCAAAGAGAATGAAAAGACTTTGTGAGGAGAAAGGACAATAAAAGAACAGCATTCATGAAGACAAAATGGTAACTGACATTTCATTCAAATTTTTTAAGTAGTGAGTAAACTGTTTTTGTCTATATGAAAAAATTATATAATATATATATATATATATATATATATATATATATATATATATATATATATATATATGTGTGTGTGTGTGAAATATCATGGTTATTTCTCCTAATTACTAAAGAATTAATGGATTTATGTTTAATACATTTTTTATTACTTCAATGTTATTTTTTGTGGTACATGTGTTTGAAATAGATGCCACATTTTATCTCTTAATTTTAACTCGTGTATCGCCTGTTGATCTGCGCACTCAAGAAAACCAAATAAAGAAAACAGGCTCTCTGACAGGATTTGAACCTGTGTCTCCCTTTGTAGGAGAAACCATCATATGCTGGGCTGTGATGCTCTCTGTAGCCAAGTGGCCAGTATCTCATTTGGTACCACCGTACCTGAATATCAGTCTCTTTGCTTAAAGGGTTATCCCAAGTACCCCAGCTGCAGGATTCATAACACAGGCATTATTGGACATGGGAATACAGCTGGTGTTTCTCTAAAATAGTTTAGTAGAGGTATATGAAAACACCAAATTTCCAGACAGGGTGACGGTATCATGAAATTCCTTTGAAAGTACCATGGTATTCATAGTTACTTGAGTTTTGGTAATAATCACAAAACTCCATGCAAAGAAATGGTTCCCTCGAACAGTGGTTCTCAACATTTTTGCCCAATGCACCCTTTTCAACATATGTCAGAACGTGAATCAACACCCCACCCCTTTCCCAGATTGTCCGACTCTAAAGCTGCATTTCAAAAGTACTATAATATTTATGACATCAATTTTAAGGAAAAAAAGTAAAGAAAGGCTCCTACTTTTTAAGTTAAAATTCAAGTAATGTCTTCATTCTTTGAAGCATATTTTTTCTTTAATTTTGAAGAACTCTGCCATCTGTTGATCAGCCTGAGTACTAAATAAAATTGTTGGACATAATATAATCCTCTGTGTTTGTAGATCTTTGATAAAAAAAAAGTGGCATTAAAATGAACCAATCTAATGATAGGAAAACTTTAAAAGTGGGAGTAAATTTAATCTGCTGCACTTACTAAAATTAAAGCAAAGATTTTAGTGTGATAAGAAACTTTTTTTCCCCTTTGAATTAAAATAGAAAAGAAAGAGTCTGTAATTTTAAACTAAAGATTGTAGCAAAAATTTTTAAAAAAATAGGAAAAACTGAGTAAATTTTAATTTCAACAAGTAAAAAAAAAAAAAAGCATTAAATAGAAAAAATAATTTTCTCATGTACATTTTAACAAAACTGCATTTAAAAAAAACTTTAAACAAATCTTCAGCAAATGAATTTTTCAGTTATTGCTTAGCAAAATGTAGTACCAAATAAAATAAAACTTATTTTTTAATACTAAAATTTCACCCAATACAAAGCTCAAGAGACACTCAAGGTAGAGGGATACTATGAAAATAGTTATGAAGGAGTTATGAATAAAAGAGGTTGATTGATTGATTTGTTTTTTGTGGGTTATCAACTCCTACTAATTAACCCATAGTAGAGGGGGAGAAAATGTAGATTCACATTGTTCCCAAGGGAATGTTCATATAAATGAATATAATGAACCCAACTGGAACTGGAACTCAGCTCTCTGATTAACAATTCTGATCTATTATCCATTGCACCAGCCACACATCCAAGCTTACAGCACCTGGTATTTCCAAGAAGTCATCCATCTTCATACTGACCAGATTCAATATTGCTTAACTTTGGTGATTGTACGAGAAGTGGAGTTTCAATGTAATGTGGCTGTAAGTTGCATCAAGGAAAAGAAGAGGTGGTAGGAAATGAAGTTTAAGAGGATAAGGAGGAAAGATGATGACAGACGCTTGACTTAAATCAACATTGAAGTGTTCAGAGAAGCACACACATAGGAGTCTGCCCCACAAATTGGCAATTCTTGAGAAAATCTTACATTTGGGACACAGAAAAATTAACTGATTGAAGGATTCATTTTCTACAGCTTATCAACCTTCTGTAGGTTATTTAAAGCCAGAAAATATCATTAGATTGTAACAATTGGAAGGAGGAGAGGACAATGGTTTAGTGATACAAGCCTTACTAATTAACCCATAGCTGGGGAGGAGAAGGGGAGCATTCATATTTTCTTCAAGAGTATTTGTGTATAAGTGAATATAACAAACCCAACAGTAATTGGAACTTGGATTAACAACTTCCGTTACACCACCTGCACATCCAAGCTTAAAGCCCCTGATATTCCAAAATGGTCACCCATCTAGGTACTGACCAGGCTTGACACTGCTTAATTTCGGTGATCATATGGGAACCAATGTTTCAACATGTAAGAGGAAATGATGGCAATTTGATTCTGGAGAAATAGGATGGCATGTCCCAGCTGGGAAGGTCTGAACTGGAGGAGGTTAATGGGGCTCAACTGAACATTTGCCATAGAAATAGTGAAGGGCTTGCAATGTTGAAACTGAGCAAAAGAGGTTGCAAAACCAAAAGAAGAATCACTATTGCAACACATTTGAGAAGTCTTCAGGTGAGCCACGGCAGTACCTGCAGTTTAGTGTAACCCCTTGCCTAGTTTATAATCGATAATAATTATTCAACACAGGAAAATCAAAAACAAAGATCAGGTGCCTGAACACTGAATAGGGGTAAGCAAGCTAACCTCAAAAAATCATTTATTGTAGTGTGTTCAATCCTTATGCCAAAACTAAGATAGGCTTAGTTAATGTTTTACTGTGAAGTTATAGTTTGCTTGGAAACTAGTATCAAAAACAGTTATTGATGTGAGGTCAATCCTTGTTGAGTAATGTACAAAAGCAAAATAAGTAATTAAAACATCGATTGTTGACTACAAACTAAAATATCACAATAAATTAAAAATTAAGTTTGTTTCTATTTGTTTAATTATGTATTGGATTATCCGTAAAGTTCATGCCAATTTTTAGTTGTTCATGTTCCAACATGTTAGAACACAGCAAATTTATGCTTACATTTCTGATTAGAGCAAATGTCAAACTATCTCTTAAGAAGTTTAAAATTACTTAATTTGTGTCAATTTTGCATCCCTATGAAAGTAGAAGATTATAAAGGTGCATTTTAGACACTTGATGCTTTTTTTTTTATCTCTCATTTACAACCAGTATACATTATTTGTTTGTTTTTTTTATACTAGAGTTCACTCAATACAAGGTTCAAGAGCCACTCATGGTAGAGGTTTATTAAATGTGACAGGAACTTAAGAGGAGGCAGAAAGCAGTAAAGATCATGATAAGGAGGATAGACAGCAATTGTCCCTTGACTCGAAGAGGTTTAAATTATATAATGTTAAGAGAAGCATCTACACAGGAGCTTTTTTCACAAAGTAGTAGTTCCTGGTAAATAGCTACCTTGGTAGTATTTCCTCCTTGCAAATGGAATATGGAGGAAATGTGGATGATTCAACTCCATGATCATAACATGGCAGGTCCTAGGCATAAAGGTCTGAATTTGTAGATTTAAAGAGTGGAGCTAATCAAAACATTTGCCATGGAAATAGCGATAGGCTTGCAACATTTGTGTCTCTGATAAAGAGGTTGTAAAGTGGAAAATAAGTTACCCACCCCCATAAGACCATGCAAATCATTTTGAGCTCTGTTAGGGCTAGAAAGTGAAGATTGGACACCTTCAGCCCAGATTTGGCAGTAATACTATTTTTGGTCTGATCTCACTCTTGTAAAGATAAAGCATGATAGGAGCAATCAGATACTTTCTAGAGTGGCACAAGAGCCAACTATTTTTCCAGCATCTTTGGTGATGGATCATATGAGTTCCATTTATTATACCTGAAAATAATGCAATTTATTATGCAAGTCTTTTTGTAATATATTTCTACCAATATGCAAAAAGGTGAGGCTGTAATAGAAGATTGTAAACCAAACTCTACACTGCATGGAAAAAATTGGTAAAGAAAATATTTTATATTTCAATTAAGGATAATTATAGATCATTAACAAAATGTTTCTCATTACATTAACAAAAGCAATCTCTGCTATGCAACTTATAATTAAATACTTTCAAACAAACAGAAAGAGGGGCAGGTTTTTGGAAAAATTCAAAATTAGGCAGTAAAATATGTACCAAAAAATGAACAAAAGGGAAAAAACAAAAAACAAACCAACAACAAAAAATTTTTTTGATCAAGTGACATTTGTGAGAAGATATTAACATTTAGTCAAGTAATGTCATTAAGTCTACACCGTTGTGCAAATTAACTGAAACAACTGCTTTAGTTTCCATTCTTTCACCATACGGTCAGTTTTAGACCCACTGGAGTGACAGGGTGTTAACTGATTACTATTTTTTCCTCAGATCAGGTCATTTGCAGTGGTTTACAGTAATCTATTTTCAAAGTGTATGATGAAATTTGTTTGGCCTTGAAAAATATTGCATCATCCATGATTGCATGAGATTTTTATCACACCCAGACACTATTGTCTTGACTGTTGATTAGTTGGTCTACGGCCATTGTCTGCAAGGGACGTTACTCCAAGGAAGCATAGGAAAATTGTAATGCTGCACAAACACACTGGCAAGCCTTACCAGTGAGTAAATCAAAGTACTATAGATTGACCCGGAAACTCTCCTGATTTAAATCCAATTGAGATTCTATGGTCAATCTGCAAGGCATGACTTTATGGAATGGATATGTGAAGTACTAACAGGTGCACTGGGTCATGTTTCATTGGATAAACAGAAAAAAAGTAAATAATAATGGAATTATTCATTTTGTTTCAATTAATTTGCACAAGGGTGTACTTCAGTTATACAATTCAAAATTCCAAATACTAAAAAGCTCCAAGAACTAAACATTTTCAATTTTAATTTCAATGTTTATCTTTATCATGTTTCATTTACCATTCAACAAATAAACTATAAAATTATTTATAGCCCTTAATTTACTCCCTAATGTCCGATCTTTATCTGGGGAAATATCAAAAATATTAACCCCTAACAGTACTTCACCTGGTGGGATGGGTTTTGTTGCCCAACCTGAGGTGTCCCAGGGGCTTGAGGGCCTTCTCACACCCTGTTAAATCTACTTTAAACATCAACCTTGTGCCACATTTGGTAGTAATGAGGGCATACTGAAAAATAAATCTTTATCATATTTTATTTACTAATGGATAGAGAAGCTATAAAATTATTTAGTCTTAATTTACCTGACAACATGAATATTTACATGATTCATTGTCAAAATGTCACACGATACATGCTTGGGCAATTCTATCTCTTTCCATTCTTGACCGACTAGGCAAATTTTCTTGCAGTAGGTTGCCATTTCTTTCTGTGATAGACTAGTTGCCAACCAAGAATATAGGACTAAGGCTGTCCTGCTATTCAACCCATAGCCGGGGGGGGGAAGAAGAGATGCAATTTTTTGGTATTTAGTGGAATTTGAACTTGGCTTTCCCATTTCTCTTTAAAAATTCATCAACCAATTCATACCTATCATTCCATTTTAAATTTAAACTCTGTCCGTATCAGAAATTGTGTACCTGCATGTCAAATCAGTTCAGTTCCCATGACATATCTGGGTTTAAAACAGGAGAAGTATTCATTCATGCAGAAACCCATCCTTTTTCAGGTCAAATCATAGCCAATGACCTCCAACTTAGTCATGGACATGTGGTCATTTATTCCATCGAGAGAACCCTCTGACCTGGTTGTTGACTTTAGTCTAGGAAGCACCCTCTGTCTAGTGATGCTATTTCATTACCACACTGGCTGAATATTCTACCCTATTGATAAATGGCATCTATATAAATTTGTACATATATTGAAACTATATTCAGTAACTTTATATTTGTCTATTCTGAATCAAGGTGCATTATTTAGAGGAAGACTATTGTCCCCATCTTTTTTGTTGCTATCCCAATGTTTTGACTGTTGTACTCTCTGGCCTTCATGTTAGCTATGTCATAACACATATGCTAGACTAGGTTTGGTTTGTTTTACAGCATATCAACCACTGGGTCGTTTAATGATGAAATTTAATTTTTCTTGGGTGCATTAGTAATTTATTTTATGAAAAAAATATATTGCATTTTTACTTTTTTTTTATACTTTCATAGTAACCTCAGTTTGGGGTTAACTATTTGCCCACAGCTGGGATTCTAACAGGTGCCAGGGTGGATCTGGGAGCAACAGCAATAAGGTTGGTTCCATGCTCCGGAGGCATTACTGTCTGGCTATTCAACCCATAGCCAGGGGGAAAGAAGAGATGGATTCATATTTTTCTGAAGGGTATTTGCCAATAAGTGAATATAATGAACATTAGCCTGGAATTTTTGAACTTAATTGCTTTCAATGGGGCAGTATGGTTTAGGAAACAACAACAAAAATATTGCCTAGACATGGACAGTGAAATGAGGACAATCTACTCCAGTTGAATAAATAAAATTTTGAAATTGAAGGTTACCCGGATGAACAACTACCTGATGAGGGTTGGTGGACACAACAACAAAAACATTGTCCACATGTAAATAATATAAACAATGATAACTCCTCATCCCCAAAATTCAGACAGAAATTGCAATATCATATATTTGGTAACCATCGGTCTTGAGAGATTAAAGTCATGCCTCAGCATCTGTTATGGCTATACAGGCCCACACAGGAGTGACAGTATTGACTGCAACCAATGCATATGAAGACACTCTCCCCCAATGTCACTTTCTTTCCTTCTAGCATGCTTCATCCCAGATACAAGCTGCCATTTCTTTTCTCCTCACTCTATACCTCAGTGTAAATCGTGTCTCCAGTGCCAGTGATCATTGATGACATCTTCCCATCTCTAGATGTCCATTGCCAGCATGCCACTTTTGAAGATATCCTTGAAGCAAAGATGAGGTCGCCATCATGCCTTCTTGCCAGTGGCTAGTTCCCCATACAGAAAGATCTTTGGAATTCTCCCATCAGTAGTAGACTGTTGCTTTCCATGTTTTGTCATCATGGTGAGGTGATGCGTGAATATTCTCTTCAGGGTGTAAGCCTCAGCAGTATTTTATGAGAGATTGGTGATTGTCCATTCAGCCTGTTCTCCCCTTTCCATACCACCAATATTGTCCCATGTTCTAAATGACTCTTGTGTGTCAAATCAATATTGTTGCCTTGTTTGGTGGCAGTAGTTTGGCTTTGGAAAGTAACCCCAGTGGGATAACAAGGAATACACAATGCATAGAAAAATATCTTTTGTGTCCCCTAAGAAAGATCTCTAATTTTCAAAACATTAAAAAATAAGGGCAAAGGGTAAAAAAATGAATGGATTACAAGCTTAGTTCTGTG